CTTCAAACGAACGTTAAAATCCACTTGAAATCAGGAAGCAGTTTTTCACCCAAAGGGTTTGTGGAAATCTAGAATTCTCTCTCTCTCTCTCCCATCTCCCAAAAGGCTGGTGGATGTTGGATCCATTCACATCTTCAAGACGGAGATAGATAGATGTTTGTTCGGTCGAGGGTACTAAGGGATATGGGGCAAGGGCGGGGAATCGGACTTGAGGTACAGATCAACCGTGATCTTATAGAATGGCCGAACAGGCTCGAGGGGCTGAATGGCCTCCTCCTGTTTCTATCGACATGGCGTTATCAGAAAGGAGAAGGGCGTTAAATGGGTCCAATCTCAGGACCTATTGTACACGGAGACACAGTCGCGCTCTCCCAGTAGCAGAGCGAGAACGCTGAGATCTAATATTGCAAACGATTGTGAATAATGTCGCTCTTGCAAAAAAAAAAAAAACCCAAAAACAAAACAGTAATGAAAACCCAAATAATCTTATCGGTGATGGATTTCTCCACGATTAAGAAATGACTTTGGCGTAACCTGTTTATTGCACTGGCACGCGCAGAGATTATATTAGTTTTGAGCCTCCGCAAATTGGCTTTGCACAACCTCCGCTTGTCAGTACAAACAGTTTTACACAATCGTCAGGAGACTCCAATCCAACTGACGCAGTGGGCAAATAGACCGGCTAAGCTGTTGGTAATTAATCTCAGGGATAGTTAATTGGCTGTAGATCCACTTAATGAGAAAATGTAATTTTGATTAAAGCCCAAACCTCGGAACAAATCTATTGAAATAGCGGGGTTGGTGGGAGCAAGGCTCGTGATTAATGCGGAACTCTCCCTCTCGCTCTCATTCTCTCTCTATCACACTCTCGTCTCTATTTCTTTCTCTCTCTTTCCCCGCCCCCCCCCCTCTCTCTCTCTCTCTCTCTCTCACACACACACACCTGATCTGCGCCGCCATCGCTGGCCGAGCTTTCAGTCGTTTTGCCCCGCTCTCCGCAGCTCTCTCCTGGAGTCCACTTGAACAGGCCGATGGGAGATTGCCATTTAATTGGCACCTCTGGCACTGGGTCACACCCTCAGCGCTGGATTGGAACCTGAGGGGGGACTGTTAGTTCTAAGTCCCAATGTAAGGCTGTGAACCTTCTGGCTCGCGGTGGCCTCACCCTAGCCATGAGCAATAATAATGTGGTCACTCGATCACCACGGCGGTTTGTGGGACGCTGCTGTGTGCAATTGGCTGCCCCCACCCTCTGCAACTCCATCCCACAGTCCCTCCGCCTCGCCCCCCCCCTCCCTCCCTCGCCTCCTTCAAGACCCGACTCAAGACCCTGCTCTTCGACCAACCAGTGCCTTTGGTCGCCCTCCTAACCCTCTACCCTCCCTCCCCCGCCCTCCACCCCCTCCCGATCTCAACCCCCAGCGCGGGTACAAATACCTGACCGTCCAATGCCTTGGGACGTCCTCCTGACGCGAAAGGCGAGGTGTGTAAATGTCATTTGTTATCGTGGCTGTTGTTTCGCCCACAAAATACACAGTCAATTCACTTTGAGACATCTCGATGACATGATAAGGCGCCTGCATCAAATGCAAAGGACTATTATTATTATTATTCAAATGGTTAAAGGAAAATGCCCGAGTTTGAGCAAAGGGAGGCAAAGGGCTGTTGGGAACCAGAATGGAAAGCTGCTGGTGACCTCTGTCATTCTCTCTTGTCTTACCAACTCCCTCACCCTCTTCAGCCAGAACCTGGGTGTTGGAATATTCATGGACGGCCCAATTTCCGAGATAGTTCAGAAACGTTGAGGAGGGAGGGAGGGAGGGAGGGAGGAAAGCGACAGAAGAAAGAAACAACAATAAATTGTGTGAGTGCACACAGCGCCTTTCACATCAGGAGGATGTCCCAAGGCGCTGGACAATGAGGGGTTTGTACCCGGCCCAGCTCCAGCTCAGGTGCAGATCCCTAACCGAACAGCATCCTCTTACGTGAAAGGCGCTGTCGTTTGCTGTTGTTGTTGTTGTTGAGATCAGAGGGAGGGGTGTGGGGTTAACGCGGGGCTCTGGGAGTGGGTGTGGACTCGATCGGCCGAATGGCCTCCTTCTACGCTGTAGATTTCTACGTCGGGAGTGAGGTCAGTCCGAAAGCTGAGATTGTACGAAGGTTGAGTCCTCGTGGGGATGTGTTAGTCTCAAAGCCGTTTTGCCGCTGATAGTCGCACAGAGCCAAACAATGAGCCCAGAGAAAAAGTTTTAATCAATGGGTATCCTTGGGGGCAGTTACTCTGAGCTGACGTGTTAGACACACAGGGATGGGGAACAGAGTCAATGATCAGAGTGTGTGAATTTCACACTGAGGGTTTATTTTTTTTAAGAAAGAAACAAATTTGATCGTGAAACCTACAATCGCTGTTGAATTTCGCGCAGTAAATCACAGGATGGATGGAGGCCTGGAGCGCAGGGATTAGAGCCCTCGCCTCGCGAGCGAGAGGACCCGGGTTCGATTCCCAGGCAGGTCAGGGCGAGACATTGGGCAAGTTTCCTCACTCCACACACACACACACACACACACCTCTGTTTACCAGCAGTCAGCAGGAACCTGGTTGTTAGGCGATTGGCGGAGATTAACAATCCCTTCCGAAACAAATAATAATAATAATAAATTTGGTCACTTCAACCCACGGCTGTTTGTGGGGGACGCTGCTGTGCGCAATCGGCTGCCGCGTTTCGCCCACAAAATACACAGTCACTTCGCTTTCCAATGTATCCTGTGAAGCGCTTCGAGACGTCGTTGTTAGACGTTGTTAGATCAAATGCCATTTCTTTAGATGTTTTATGTGGAGAGCTGCAGACACGAAGACTGAGCGATTCGGAAAGAAGTACACCGGGTAGAATCTTTTATCACACAAGGCAATAATTCTCCAGTAAACTGTTCTGTGTGTCTGGAGGTCAAAGCACTAACTAGTCTCCAGCGAATTCCTGATTTATTTCCTGTCCTACACAAGCATTCCTTGGTATAATTTTCCATTGATCGCGTTAATGAATTGTGCCTTTTCCTCTCTCTCTCTCTCTCTCTCTGTCTCTGACTCTCTCTCGGTGGTGGAATGAAGCGGTTCCAGCACACAGTTTTGTTTCTTGTGCTCACACGGCATCTGGTTTGACTGTGGCCTCTCTTCTTAGACGGTCAAATTCTCTGTTCTCCGAGATACCTCAGTTAGACCTTCTACTTTTGGCCCAAGAAAGGCATCGCATCAAATCACAACAAATCTACTACGAAATCTCTCACATTCCCCCCCCCTCTCCCCTCAGCCCCCCAATAAATAGTGGGGTCCTGTAGCTCAGTGGTTAGAGCACTCGCCTCGCAAGCGAGAGGACCCGGGTCTGCTCACCGGCAGTCAGTAGGAACCCGGTTGTTAGTCGATTGGCGGATCGCTTTTCCACGACTGTTTGTGGGGACGCTGCCGTGCACAATTAGTTGCCGCGTTTCGCCCACAAAATATACATTCAATTCACGTTTACAGTGTATGCTTTGAGACGTCTCGAAGTCGTGTGATTAGGCGCTGTGTCAAATTCGAGGATTATTATGATGATTAGCGTTAAGCAAAATCCCCGTGTTATTTTTCTTCCAAAGCCGTGTAAGGATCTTAACTTCTGACGCACAGCAACGAGCGTTTTTTTACGGATCCCCTTTCATGGCAGAGCCTTTGATAATGAATCTTCCAGCGCAGCCCTACGTTTGTGACTTCCAAAAGAGTCCTGTCGAGCTTGCTGCGAAATAACAAAAGTCATTGCAGGTGTCAAGGTTGATGGCGAATGCATTACTCGTCTAATTTGCCTAATCTAATTGGAGGTTATTGCACTCATTGCGTTTCCTATTAAAAGGCACCGGTTAAGGTTGAAAGTAACGGCATCCTGAGACACAGGGGACCTGTGGTGTATTTGGTTGGGTTCAGACAAGGTCAGCAATAAAACATGGAGACGGGCAAATTGGACTGTTTGGAGACTGCTAAAATATCACCTCTTTATATCAAACGGCGAGACAGACGGGCGCAGAACGACTGGTTAAGGCTGAACGCACGCCAACAGCTTAACTTTCTCTTCAGCCCTCGCTTTGCGTCGCGAGTGTTTTAGCCCTCGATAGTTTACCGGCCGCCCCCGATTTCGAACGGGAGGGACCGCAGGAAACCGTCGGGGCGCCAACAACTACAATTGGCGATAATAATTTTGATTCCCTTTCGATGTGGCGTCTTTCCCGCCGGGCGACATCTCAAAATGTTTCACTGGATTTACTGTAATAACAATGATAATAATAATAATAATAATCCTTTCCATTGGTGTAGCACCAAAGTCATGTCAATGGCAAGCTATGCTTTTTTTTTTAGCTGGTTACATTCCAGCAGTTACCTCTCCTCCCCCCCCCCCACCGCCCGCCCGCCCAATGCACACTCTGGGGTTTCCCCCCACACCCTCCAGAGCCTTGGCTCCTGTCAACCAGTGCTCTGGGTCGCTATCTTGCGTGAGGAGGTTGGGGGGGGGGATGGGGGAGGGGGGCAGTGTAAATGCATGTTGTTGTCGTTGTTAATATTTTCCGGAATTAGGTAAGTGAGATGCGTGGCTCCAGGGGAGAGAGTGTGTGTTGCATTCCAACAGTCTGTATTACATTATATAATATATATGTACAAAATACACAGTCAATTCACTTCACAGCGTATCCCGTGAAGCGCTTTGAGATGCCTCAACCGCATGATAAAGCGCTGTGTCAAACGCAAGGATTATTATTATTATTATTATTATTATGTATCGCTGGGATTTCCACGTGCAGGGTGGAATGCGTGGAATCCTCGCTTGGTGTGGAGACGGCCGAACCCCGAAGACCACAACGTCAGGAGGATAAATAACTGCAAAGTGCGGGGACCGGGTGCTTTGCGAGCGGAGCTGCTGTGGTTGAACACCCGGTCCCGATTCTCAAGTGTTAATGCGTGCTGTTGTTTTGGTTGTGCGCAGGAGCTGGTGGGAAGCAACCCTCCGCAGAGGAACTGGAAGGGAATCGCGATCGCCCTCCTGGTCATTATGGTCATCTGCTCACTGATCGTCACCTCTGTTATCCTCCTCACTCCAGGTAGAACTTCCTCTCCAACTCTTTGCTCCCCCCCCACGACTTAAAAACCATCCTGTTGTGCGTTCCCTCCAGGCTATATTGGAGTCCCCGGAGCTCGGGGGTTAGAGCACTCGCCTCGCAAGCGAGAGGACCCGGGTTCGATTCCCGGGCGGGTCAGGGGGAAACATTGGGCAAGTTTTCTTACCTCGCACACACCCACACACCCACACACCAATAGGAACTCTGTTTACCAGTAGGATCCCGGTTGTTAGTCGATTGGCGGATCGATTTTCCAAGGGTAATAATCCCTTAATAAAAAATTATAATTGCAATTTGCTCGCTTCCATCCACGGCTGTTTGTGGGGGACGCTGCTGTGCGCAATCGGCCGCCGCGTTTCGCCCACAAAACACACAGTCGATTCACTTTACAGCGTATCCCGCGAAGCGCTTTGAGACGTCTCGAAGACGTGATCAGGCGCTGTGTCAAATGCTGAGATTGTTGTTATTATTTTGGCTGTTTGTGGGACATTGCTGTGCGCGAATTGCCTACGCTGCTTGTCTTCAAAATGCACAGTAACAGTGTGAAGCACTTTGAGACAACCTCGTGACATGAAAGGGCGTTCCATCCAATGCAGGAATTATTATTTATCATCACCCCCTGGACCTACGCATTCAATTTTCTGCAAGATTCATTCAATATATGGAGCATTGATCTCAAAATCTAATAATCCCCAAATCCCTTTAGATTGACAAGTCCTGGTTTTCCTGTTTGAAAAAAATCCTCTGAAGATTTTTACTGTATCACCCGTGACCGGTAGATTATTCCACACATTCCACACATCAAGTCCCCAACATCAGAAGATCGCTTCGGATTAAGAAGTCCGGTTTGGTCAATCTGTGTGTTTTTTGTTTAACAAGTGAATGACGGTATTGTGGCCTCAACCGTCCTTCCTGGCAACGTGTCCCAGGCATTAATTACAACAACAACAACTTGCATTTATACAATGTCCCTGATCGCTCTAATTACCCTCTGGGTCACTTAAAATGCTACACATCTCTGTATGGTGTCCACTAAAATGTCTTCTCTCGAGACTGAAGACCTCTAGCCTGTCTAATTGTCCCTCACTGTGTCCTGTGAAGCGCTTTGAGGCATCTCGAAGACGTGATAAGGCTCTGTATCAAATGCGAGGATTATTATTATTATTATTATTATTACTACTATAGGGAGGCCATTCGGCCCATCGAGTCTGCACTGGCTCTCAGAAAAAGCTGTCTATTCAATCTATTCAATGCCCTGCTCTATCCCCATACCCCTTCTTCAAGTCGCTATCCTTCATATCCCTGTCTACGTCCCTCTTAAAAGTTACAGTAGACTCTAACTCTACCAGCAGCCTTGGCAGGGCATTCCGCGTCCCAACAACTCCCCCCAAAATGTCACTGTTCACTTCAACCCACGGCTGTTTGTGGGGACGCTGCTGTGTGCAGTTGGCTGCCGTGTTTCGTCCACAAAATACACAGTCACTTCACTTTGTGAAGATCTTTGAGACGTCTCGGAGACGTGATAAGGCGCTGTATCAAATGCCAGGATTCTTATTTATTATTAACTCACTGTGCGGAAAAAAAATTATTTCCTAACCTCTCGTTTACACTGCGCTCGTCTTACAACTTTGGCCCCAAGTCACTGACTCCCCTGTTCGCAGAACGGATACGATGTGAAACATGGACTCAAGATGATACCCAACAGATTGAAGGTGACATTACATTCAAAATGATACGAGGCAGATTCGATCCGACGCCCAATGCATTTGACAATCCACCCAGAATCTGCATGCTGCAACTGTGCATCCACATTTCGCCCCCTTGTGCCTTTGAAAAGAGCTTCAAGTGCCGTTTAGTACTGACTGATAAATAATAACAATCCCGGCAGTTGACACAGCGCCTGATCACGTCTTCGAGACGTCTCAAAGCGCTCCACAGGATACACCGTAAAGTGGATTGCCTGCGTATTTTCTAAGCGAAACGCGGCAGCCGACTGCGCACAGCAACGTCCCCACAGACCGTCGTGGATTGAGTGACCGAATTATTTTTATTTGTTTTGAAGTGATTATTATCCCCGGAAAAGTGATTCCCCCAATCCACTAACAACCGGGTTCCTACTGACTGCCGGTAAACAGAGGCGCGCGTGTGTGTGTGTGCGTCTGTGTGTGTGCGTCTGTGTGTGTGCGTGTGTGGAGTAAGGAAACTTGCCCAAGATTTCGCCCTGACCTGCCCGGGAATTGAACCCGGGTCCTCTCTTTAACATCGATGAAGCTCCTTAAAGACACTTAAAGAATTACTTCCCTCCAGAGCAGCAATAATCTATCTGATCTAATCCTTCGCTGGCTATTACAATCTCGCTGCGATGGCCTTTGATCGTGTAATGAAACAGTTCTACTGTTTCCCCCCCTGCTTATGTATTCTCCGTAACAAGCTGTCTGACTTTGTTCTTGTGTCAAAAAATAATGAGTTTAGGGGGAACGAGTTTCCTTTCTGCAAACTTCCTACCTGCTTTCTGATCTTTTTAATGGCACAGCCTGACATTGTTTCCCACGCATTCTTCCCGCTCCTCGAATAATTGCATCTTTCTCTTTGAACGCTCGGCTAAGCAATGAGTTCCGATGTATGTGAAGGTTTGTACGATGGCTCGATCCTTAAGGAAGGAGCTGTGATATTTTCCAATTATTTCCACTGTCCAGCATTGATGCTAATGAGAGGTTCAGATTCACAGAGGCGGAGGCCGCGATATAAATTCCACCCAGTAATAATGTGCCGAGAGACCTCCCAAGCCCCTGGACAGTCAGGGATCCACACCCGAGCAGGGGGTTGGGATCAGGAGGGGGCGGAGGGTACTGAAGGCACAGGAGGGTCTTCAGATGGGTCTTGAAGGAGGAGGGAGGGAGGGAGGGAGGGAGTTTCCAATTTAGCTTCCAAGTCCTGACCCGGGGCTTGAACCCACAACCAAAACACCTCGGAGAGTAAATTCTCTGAGGTGCTTTGAGTCGTCCTGAAGAACACGTGAAGAGCACTCTTTTCAAACGCAAGGATTAATATCATTACTAAACGGAACGCACAGAGGTTGTGTTTTCAATTTCAAAGTGTCGAGAGATACGCAATGAATCTGCTATAATAACAATAATAATCCTCACACTCGACACGGCGCCTGATCACGTCTTCGAGGCGTCTCAAAGCGCTTCACAGGATACACTGTAAAGTGAATCGACTGCGTGTTTTGTGGGCGAAACTTGGCAGCCGATGGCGCACAGCAGCGTCCCCCACAAACAGCCGGGGTCGAGCGAACCGACGAGACCCACATCTGTCTGGAATCTGAACAACTGGGTGTAAAATAACCCTTCATTTGCTTTGCGACACCAAAAGCACTTCAGCCGAGAATCCGTCTTGACACACGAAATGTTTGCAGGTATTCTCTGCCGGAATATCCCAGGTGTGATTCAAAGGCTTTCATTCGGCGATGGTCGTAAACCTTGCATTTGACACAGCTCTTTATCATGTCGTTCACAGAATCTACTGTAAAGTCAATTTGTGGGCGAAACGCGGCGGCCAATTCCGCACAGCAGCGTCCCCACAAACAGCCGTGGGTTGAGTGACCAATTCTTGTTTTTGGAGGGATTTTTACCCCCAGAAAGCAATCTGCCAATTGAGTACTTACTGGTGTTTAAACAGAGGCGCGCGTGTGTGTGTGTGAGTGTGTGTGTGAGTGTGTGTGAGTGTGAGTGTGTGTGTGTGAGTGTGTGTGTGAGTGTGTGTGTGAGTGTGTGTGTGTGAGTGTGTGTGTGTGAGTGTGTGTGTGAGTGTGTGTGTGTGAGTGTGGTGTGTGTGTGTGAGTGTGTGTGTGAGTGAGTGTGTGTGTGAGTGTGTGTGTGGAGTGTGTGTGTGTGAGTGTGGTGTGTGTGAGTGTGTGTGTGTGAGTGTGTGTGTGAGTGTGTGAGTGTGTGAGTGTGTGTGTGTGAGTGTGTGTGTGAGTGTGTGAGTGTGTGGTGTGTGGTGTGTGTGAGTGTGGTGTGTGTGAGTGTGTGTGTGTGTGTGTGAGTGTGTGAGTGTGTGTGTGTGTGTGAGTGTGTGTGTGAGTGTGTGGAGGTGTGTGGAGTAAGCAAACTTGCCCAACGTTTCACCCTGCCCGGGAATCGAACCCGGGTCCTCTCGCTCACCACTGAGCTACAGGACTCCAGCACAAAGGTGTCAGTTTGGCTCAGTTGATAGCACTCCCCCCGCTTCTGGCTCAGAAGGTTGTGGGTTCAAGCCCCAGATCAGGGGCCGGACTTTTTTATTTCGAAATGGACAGAAAAACGCAGCGCCGTTGGTAACGGATTTAATGTGGTCATTGTTATGTTTTTGTTATCCCCTCCACTCACTCTTTGGAGATTGCTTCCTGGATATAATAATGTAATAATAATCCAAATGCTTATATTTGGCCGAGGGGTTATATTTCACACATTGGGAGGGCGTCGCAACATATTTGGCCCACCAAATATACAGTCACTACGCTTCACAGTGTGTCCTGTGCAGCGCTTTGAGAGTCTCAAAGACGTGATCAGGCGCCGTGTCAAATGCCGGGATTATTATTATTGTTTTTATTACTGTAAAGTATAAACGAACGTGTGTTTTGTGGGCAAACTATTTGCGCCCAGCAATGTAACCTGCGAACATCGACGGGGACATCAATAATCTCCTCGGCCGCTGATGGTTAGAAACTTTCTAACTTTGTCCCTTGTCCTCGCAGTGGAAGACGACAGCCCGGCCAAGGACAAGGTGACCATTGCCGACCTCTTCAGCAAAGAATTCCAGATTCACGACGTGGAGGCAAGATGGATAAACAGTGAGTGTCTCCGGGAAGTCACTTGTGGGTGGGAGTGAGTCCAGTCGACCATATAGTTTGGTCGTAACACAACAGATCCCTTTTAAACCCCCACCAACCTGCACGCTCCCTCCTGACGTGAAAGGCTCTGGGCACATGTAACGTGTTGTTGTTGTTGTTGATCAGTTAATCCAGGCAAGCTTCCCGTATCCCTGCCCTCTCTGCACCGCCTTGTCGAGACGTCTCAAAGCGCTTCACAGCGTGCGCTGGAAAGTGGAGTGACTGTATAATTGTGGGGACCCTCTGCCTTTTTAGCGGAACAAACGTACGAGTGCGGAGAGGAGCTTTGGAGACGTGCGGTGGTTTGAAACGCAGCTGCCAATATTTCTTAGATTATCTTGTTACCAAACTGATTACCCCCCCACCCCACCCACCACACACACACACACACACACACACACACACCGGGCTTGCAGCTAAAAATGCCACATCTTGTTAACCAGAAATATTAAGAAATGTCTTACTGTGTTTACTGACGGATCGTTGCAACAGACAGAGCGGGTAATTTGGTTGACGTATCGCAATCGTAGGGAATAATTCCACCAGCACAACTGTGGGAATACGGATAGTTTGTGGTTTGCAATCGTGTAATAATAATAATAATAATCCTTGCATTTGATATAGCGCCTTATATATGGGGGGTGGGATCAGGAGGGGGTGAAGGGCGGTGAGGGGAGGGGGTAGGATGGTGACCGAAGGCGCGTGTCGAAAAGGTGGGTCTTGAGGACGGGTCTTGAAGGAGGCGAGGGAGTGGGAGGGGGCGAGGCGGAGGGACTGCGGGATGGAGTTCCAGAGGGTGGGGGCAGAGTGGCTGAATGGCGAGGCGGGGGGGACGTGAAGCAGGCCGGAGCCCGCTGAGCGGAGGGAGCGGGCGGGTTGATCGGGGGCTCGGAGGTCACAGAGGTAGGGAGGAGCGAGGCCGTGGAGGGCTTTGAAGAAGAGGACTGTTTTTTCTCTCTCTCATTTTGATGGAGCTTTCTTTTCTGTTGCTAACGGTTACGGTTCACTTAACCTGTGTGACGGTAGCGTGTGGTTTAACGCCGCGTGCAGCATCTCCAAAGCCCCGTTTGCTGGGAGAGGGCGTGAGGGGAATAGATAAACAGGGCATTGTGGTGTCCCAGAGAGGAGGTGGAGGAGACTTGACAATAGTTTGTTAATAATGAGCTTTAAATGTAATAAATGTATTCATGAGCTCGAAGCTCACAGTCGAGAAAGAATGAGTTCAGTCCCATCGCCATTTACATAGGGACGTACCAGATCACATATTAAAACCAAGCAGCTAATAATGCTGGGTAGATTATGATAATAATCGTCAAAAGATTATTATTTAACAGCAGCATTGAACTCACAAATGTTTTTCTAATAACACTGCAAGTGCAGCCCTGGGGGCAATCGGGTGCTGCGTTTCGGCCGCAACATACGCAGTCACTACACTCTACAGTGTATCCTGTGAAGCGCTTTGAGACGTCTCGAAGACGTGATGAGGCGCTGCGTCAAATGGAACGGTCAGTAATATTATTATCGTTTGCCAAGCACTTTGGGACATCCTCCTGACGTGAAAGGTGCAATAAAAGTGTAAATTCTATTGCATTATATATATAAAAAAAACTCTCCCTCGACGTATGGTTGTTTTTTTTGGGGGGAAGGGGTGGGGGAGGGAGGTGGGGGGAGCTATGTGTATAAATGTCTGCCGCCTTGAATTCCTGTGAGACGGCTTGAGATGTGATGACGTGATAAGGCGCCGAAAAAGAAAGAAATGCAGATGCTTTCTTTCTTAATCCGTCGCCTTATCTCGTGCTGTGTTTCGCTGCTGCCTTCCCACAACCTTTCTCATTTAGATTAGCGCAAATCGAAAGTCTGGAAATATATATAGCGTGCAGCACAACCCCAAATCATCGAGCTGGGATTCTCAGCTATAATCCATAAACCCAGGCACTGGAGTTGGAATCTCAGCTCTGTCCGGAGGGAGGAGGTGGATTAATGGACCTGGTGGAGAGAGGGTTGAAGTCCATGCGGGTGGGTAAGTGGGGGAGCAATCGGGAACCAGGGACGGTCAAAGTTAGAAGAGCCTTAACCTTACCTCTTTGATCTCCACGAGAGCGAGTGCTGTCTGGCCAAGCTTTCCCGGGACCACCCTCCCCGTTAGTTAGTTAGTTAGTTAGTTAGTTAGGGCTTTGGCTGCGGGGTTACCAGGAGCTGAGGGGGAGGATTCCCTGCCCCCAGTGACCGGTCGGCCCTTCCAGGATCTGCCGATGGATGAGCCAGGGCCGGGCTGAGCTGCCATCAGCCGTGAGTGCCCTGGGACACTGCGGCCCCTCCTGGCTCAGGAGCCGGGGGCTGGAGACCGGCACAGGGAAGGGCGGCTCGATTCCGAAATTCCGTCGCCAAACGGGGCCAATTCAGCTCTGAGGAGACCCCACTTACCTCCCTTTTTTTTTAGAGAGGAAGGTTGTCCAAGGAGGACAGTCATTAGCTGGTCGTCCGACGTAGAAAAATCCAACAGTGAACAACTCGAGGGCAATAAAACTCCAAAAGACACAAAATAGTTTTTCCTCCTCCCGGGTAATAAATTGTAAAATAAATAAATAAAAAGCTGTCCGGAGGAGGCCTCGTTGATCGCTCAGCTCCGCGGCTTCACACAGTCCCGTGTCTTGATTGAAGACCGTGACTTGCAAATGCTGAATTTAATCTGTCAGACAAATGGGAGACATTGTCTAAGGGGATTTAAAACATCCTCCTCTGTCTGCTCCCCTACCAGCCTCCGCAGTGTACGTACCGCAGAGGTGACCATGTTAAATACGTAGAATATGCTACCGGATACGAACAGTGTCCCAGAGATTAACTGCAGTTAATCCTTCATGTCGCCCCCCCCCCCCCCGAGCTAACTTCTCAACCGTTCACCTTTCTTTTCAGGCGGTGTCGAAGCCGGTGTGTGTGTGTGTGTGTGTGTGTGCCCCTCGCGTGCAGGACGCTCTATAAATGCAATTGTTATTATTACGCAAACACCTACTGATAACACAAAGAAATGTCATCAGAATTGGTTTGGAACATCACAACCGTGCAATAGAGTTTTTTTTTCTTTGAAAGTCGCACTGTTTTCATGTTTCTTTTTTCTACTTTCGACTATTTTCGGTGCCTCGGGACGTCCTCCCGCGGTGAAAGGGTCCTACGCAAATCTAATTTTGTACGGTGTTATTTTATTATTGTGTTGTGCCGTTTGCTGCCGCTGCAGCTTTATAGTCCTGGACGCAATAACGAAAGGCGCAATGAAATTACGCAGAGCGGCCGAAAGAAAGGGTAAAACGCGATCTAGTCTGAGCTGGGGGTCGGGCGGGTGGTGGGGGGTTGGGGGGGGGTCTTCGGGGAGGCAAGTTCATGAACGGTGGCTCTTGATCCTGTGGCTGAGGGTTTAGACTGTATCTGCCTCGCGCTCGGCTGATGCTGAGCAAGTCTGACAGAGCCACGATCAAACAGCAACAACAACTCACGTTCACGCTGCTCCCCTCCACGAGGGCTCGTGTCCCGGAGCACTTGACCGTGGCGGAGTCTGACCCCGAGCCAAGAGGGGCGGAGGGAGGGAGGGAGGGGCGGAGGGAGGGAGGGAGGGTAAATGCAATAATCCTTGCATTTGATAACGGCGCCTCATCGCGTCTTCGAGACGTCTCAAAGCGCTTCACCGGATACACTGTAAAGTGAATCGACTGTGTGTTTTGTGGGCGAAACGCCCGCAGCCGATTGCGCACAGCAGTGTCCCAACCGTGGGTTGAAAGCGACCATTTTATTATTATTATTATTTTTTGAAGGGATTATTACCCCCGGAAAAGCGATCCGCCCATCAACTAACAACCGGGTTCCTACTGACTGCCGGTAAACAGAGGCGCGTGTGTGTGTGTGTGTGTGTGTGTGGAGTGAGGAAACTTCCCCAATGTCTCGCCCTGACCTGCCCGGGAATCAAACCCGGGTCCTCTCGCTCGCGAGGCGAGAGCTCTAACCCCTGAGCTCCTGGGGACTCCAAAAGCCTCAGTATCATTCGGGGGAATTAATTAAACAGGAGTGGGTTTAGGGTCAGGGCGAGGAAGCTATTTTGGTAGCGAGCGTTTGGGGTCTAATAAAACGAGTGGATTTTACCGCATCACCTGAGCTGTAATCTTTTAGAAAACATATCTGGCTGAGGAGCGACAGTGAGGATCCCTGGAGTCAGTGTCTGTCTGAAGATTAAGCAGGTGTCTAACTACTAACCGCCAGCAAGCGACACACATGATAACCTTGAAATGGGTTGAAACACTCAGCCTCTGTCCCTTACTCGGCGACTTATTTGATTTGACTAATTTCTCCCGCTTTCTCCACCTCCCAGGTCATTTTTTTAACAGCCGGGCGTTCCACAAACGGCCGTGGATGGAGCGAATTTTTTTCTTTTCAAGGGATTTATTTCCCTGCGATCTGGCCCATCGACTAACGAGCGGGTTCCCACTTACTGATAGGTAAAACCGAGCCGCGCCACGCCCGCGCGCGCGTGTGTGGAGAGTAAGGAAACTTGGCCTGAGCTCTTGACCCGCCCGGGAATCGAACCCCCCCCCCCCTCGCTGGCGAGGCGATCTCTCTAACCGCTACGCTACGGAGACTCTGTGGATAAAAGGAAAGAGAGAAGGGAGTTTCTGAAGCTGTGCTGTCCCCAACAGATAAATTGGTCGTCTACTTTCCCGCTGTTTGAATAACCCGTTCTGCACAATTCGCTGCCGTTTCCGCCAATAAATCACAAGTTTGGATGACTCTCGCGTTTGACGTGTAAAGCACTTTCAGCCGTTCTTTTGCTCTCTATCAAACGCGCGGGCTATTATTATAACCCACCTCGTCGCACGAAATGTCACAGGTATCTAGGGTAATTGGTGTCTGCCTCCGAGATGTTTGTGTGGGTGAGAGAGAGAGAAAGGTAATATCAGAAACAGAATCCTACGGTTGAC